CTTTGCTCTTGTACTACTACATCATTCAGAAATAACATATTATCTTTCTTCTGATAAATCAAATCTTCTTAGCTAACAAAATCAGATTTTCAAAATTAGCAATAAAGAGAGACATCTAAGGGCAACAATGAATTCTTAATATTAACTAAAATTAATTTAAGAAATATGTTAAAAGTTCTATTAAAGCCTTTAGTAAGAGATTGATAGTACAATTATCCAATCTCCAATATTTAGTATCAAAATAAATGTAAAGATTAAAAATTAACCTTTTAATTTTGAATTATAATTTTATTTATAATTTTTGGGTCTCCAATATTAGTAAATCTCTCACTCCTTTTGAAAAAAAAATATTTTCAAGAAATTATTATACATTATTATCACCTGTGATAGTTCGTTATAAATTTTATTAAATCAACATAACATAATGAATATTAGATAATATAAATTGCTTAAACGTATTGGAGGAGGCAGATTTGGAGAAATATTTTGCTGTGTTGAAACAGAGACAAATTTGAAATATGCAATTAAATTAGAACTAAGAAAAGCAAAACATTAGCAATTATTATTAGAAGCTAAAATTTATGAAGAATTATAATGTGAAGAACAATTTATTCAACCAGGTATTCCAAAAATGATATCATATGGTGAAGATGGTAATTAGTTTTAAAATATTAGGCGATTTCAACTTTATAATTTTAGATCTACTAGGCTATTCACTTGATAACTTATTTAATTAATGCAATAAAAAGTTTTCATTGAAAACCGTTCTAGTTATAGCTGATTAAATGCTGTAAATATTAGAATTCATTCATTCTAGAGGTTTTTTACATTTAAATTTAAAACCTTCTGATATTATGATAGGATGTTTGGAAAAGTAATATCTCATTATAATTTATTAAAGTGCTCATAAAATATATCTAATAGACTTTGGATTGGCTTTAAAATATTTTGAAGTATAATAATAAAATAAATTCAATGAATAACAACCTTCCTTTGAAAAGCTTAGAAGAACATCCATATTTTCATCGGTTGATTCCCATTTTGGAAAAGTTTAAGTAAGTTAATTCAATGTATTCAGGGTAGAAGGGATGATCTTGAATCTTTAGGATATATAATGATATACTTTTTAAGAGGTTCATTGCCATGGTAAAGTACTTATAATGCTTAATTAAACCATGAATAAGATAAGATGGTCTATCTAAAATCATCAATGACGATTGAAACATTATGTAATGATCTACCAGAGGAGTTTTAAGAATATTTTAATTAAATAAAAAAAATAAATTTTAATGAAAAACTTGGTTATAGATTATTAAGGTAATTACTACAAGGCCTTTTCCAAAAAATGGATTTCAAATAAGATAATATATATGATTGGAATAATATATAAAATCTACAGAATTGATTATCGGATAAGTTTTTCGATATCATAACATTAATAAACTATAAAATAATTTTAATTTCTAAATGATAATTCTAATTCTCATATTCGAAAAATCATCTTTAATTTATTGAATTGACTATTATTTTAAAACTATTAATATCAAATTATATTAAATTGAAAATTTAAACTCAAATTCTAAGTCACTTTAATATTTTTTGGAAAACATATATTACAAATATTAGGCAAATTAAACCATTTTTATAAAACTTTGTTATAAAATATTAATAAATTATTTAATTTAGACCTTTCCCTTTAAATTTTTAAATTACATTGTTATTGAAATAATCGTTCTATTAGTTATTGTTAATTTAATAAGAGAATAAGCATTATTAAAAGAATTATTTTCTCAGAATACTTTTATGATGATAAATTTACGATTATAAGATTTATTCACATCAGAAAATTGGAAGCTCTTTTATCTTAAAATAAAAATATTTTAAATATGATTGTAAAATTTGTTAAATGTTGGCTTGATGCAATAACTCTGTTTATTTTTATTTATTTTTTGTATAATATAAATAATTATACTTAAAATCAAAATTATATATATATTATTATTATTATTATGGAATAATAAGTTAATTAACTATCTTGGAAGGTTCAACAAAATCCTAAAGAATTGGATTTATCGTACTGTGTGTTTTTATAAGACATTGAATTCATAACTTATTTAAAATCACCATAAGCTAAATAAATGCAATCATTAAATTTATCACATACTCTATTATCAGATGCTTCTCTTTTACAATTAAGTTTTTTAGACTCAAAATCTTTGAAGTTTTTGAACTTAAGTTATTGTGTAAATTTTACAGAAGGGGCAATAGTCAATTTATTAAACTCTGAAACTATTGTTAATGTAGAAGTTCTTGATTTATCAGGTAATTAATTATCTGATGTGTGTTTAAAGTTTGTATTATAACCAAATAAAATGAAATACTTGGCATCAATTATTTTAAACGATATAGTATTAATTTATTTTGATATATCACTTAGAAAAAAGGACAACAAGGTTTTTCGTATAAGCTGTTTGAAATACTCTCCTAAACTAATCTCAATAAGAGTTTATTAAATCTTAGTGTAGGCAATTCCTTTGTATAACCTGATCAATTATAAATGACTAAAGCACAAACAATAATGAATACCTTTTTTAATCGAATTATGAAAGAAGATCATACGTAATTGTGAAATTGTATATTTTAGTTATTTTTATCAATTAAGCTTGAAGGGCACCTCTATTTAAACTTTAACACTTTTTAAATGCGAATTACTTACTAATAAATTCATTAAAATGCTTTGTAGAAACATTATATTTCTAAGTTCTATCAAAGTATTAAATATTGGTCATTGTAAATTATTGACAGACAAAATTTGTTATTACTTATCTGAAGCAGGTGCATCTGTTTAAAAATTAGTAGATTTAGAATTATTGGGATTAAACATTACATCTGATGGTTTAGACAAAATAATAAAAAGTAAATCACTTAAACTCAATCATCTTGGATTAGCCATGTGCGAAGATATATAATCGGATGCTATAAAAACATTAATGGATTCTAAATTTGGTAAAACATTGACTTCTTTAGAAGTATCAGGATCTTACTCATAAAAAAGTTAAATTGTTGGATTGTTTTCATAGGAATAAATAATTTGGAAAGATTTTAATCTTAAAACTATATATATTGAACTCTTTTTAGATTAAGGGTGTTATTATTAACATGTTGGAAAATAATAACTTTAATTTTAAAAATAATAATAACTAAATTAAAATTTAAGTTAATTAGATCCATATTATAAGACATTTTTTGAAACTCATATGTATACAATTATTGATTAAATAATTTTCATAAAAAAAATAAAAGTTGTTTTAAAAGTTCAGTATACTGATGAAGATTTAATTGCATAATATTTAACTAATTTTATTGAATAAAATAATCTTTTAGATAATTTATTAACGAATGATAATTAATTATTTGTCAACAATCTTTGTATATTATCATATGTTTTATAATCAATAACAAAAGCTTCAGCTAAAATTTATGATGTGGAAGAAAGATATTAATAAAATAATTAAATATCAATAATTCAAATAAATTACCTTGATCCCATAGAAAAAGAAAAAATAAATGTCTCTCAAATAAGAAATTTGGTTTTAATGAAGTAAGATTTGTTAAGAGATGAAGATTTAGCTTTAGTAGGAAGATATTCAGAGACAATTTTTTCATAATTATCATATATTTAAATCAAAGGTAACATTTAATTCTCATAAAGGTTGTAAACAAATAACTATTAAAGGATTACAATAATTAGGAGAAAGATTACTTCATCAATTATAATTTCTAGATGTTAGAAAAACATAAATTAAATTAAGTGAATACTCTCAAATACTAAACGATTTTATCAATCTCACTTCATTTAATAATAATAAAATTCAACTTGATTTTAATCAAGTAAATTTGTTTTATATATTAGAAAAATACGAAGGATGATCTTGTTTAATGGTTAAATTTACTTTTCAGATTGCTATCCTTAAAGAAATTAAGTATAAAGAATACAAATAAATAATCAATTTTTAATATGTTTTTAATGAGGTTTGTGGCTTAAATGGTAAAAAATAATCATTTATCAATGAAAAAATTATATTTATAATGTTTTTTAAACATTGCTGATTTGTAATAATTAAGTTTAAATTAGTCAATTATACTCAGAAGAAAGCCTAACTGAATTATGTGAAAGCATTTAATTAAGTTTCAATATAAAAACATTTTATTTAGAGATTTCTGGATTAATTAAGCATTAATTTATCATTGATGTTTTTAACACTTTAATTAATACATAAATTACAAATTTAAATTTATAACTTGAAAAGTATATTATTTCTGTATTATAGATAAAAGTTGTAATATTATTGATGAAATCTTCATTAATAAATAAACTAGTATCCATTATTTCAAAGCATTAGAATTCAGTACTTCCAATTTAACTTAACTTGATATTATTCTATACAATACTTAATAATTGGAAGATTTAACAGTTGTATTGTCTCTTAATGAAAATAAAATAGATAGTTTAATTTATCTTTTTTAAAATAACTAATTAATTAACCTAAAAATTGAATTACAACAAGCAAAAATAGAATAATTTTTAGATATTTTAATAGCAATCAATCCTGAAAAAATAAAAACAGCAGAATTTATGATAAATAAGTAACAATATTATACATATTAGTATTTTAATCAATGAAATTTTTTTACAAAAACTCTAAGAATTTCTACTTAAATGTAAAAGATTGATTGAATTTACAATATCGATGATTGGGTAATTAATATTATATATTTTAAGATGTGGATGTACTAAATAAATGATGGATAAATATTTTAAAAGCAACTTATAAATTTTTAAAATTCCATAACTGAAATTTTATTATTGAGTATAATATTAGAGCAATAAAAATGATAATCATTTTATTACTTCTTAAAAGTTAACATAATTTCTGAATTTTTTAAATATTTATCAATAATTAACAATTAGTTAAATATATTAACGTAAATTTAAATAAATGCAAGAAAAATAGGAATAAAGAAAATCAACAGATCTCATTTGTTTCTGGTGTTTTAGTTTATTCTAAGCATTTTTCTTCTGTATTTCCATTTATGCATTATTAAATGGAAATCCAAATAAATTAGGGGTACCTTATGATCCTGATCGTAAACTATTTTATTCAAATTTTTATATAGATTCTTCTTGTGGCTTTGACTTAGAATAATACAAATATATATACTTTACTACTCCTACTAATAATTTCCTATATAGGACGGTTTGTTTGAGTGAATGTCCAAATACTTAATAAATAAGTAACAATATTATACAAAATTTAGCAAAACTATAATGTTCTCCAAATTCTATAGTCAAATCGTGTTAAATAAATCCAAGTGTTACAAATATTAGCGAATCTATATTAGCTTATCCTTCAGAAGCATGTAATTATTTTTATCATTTAGACAATAGTTAAATATGTTTACCAAAAAATCCAGATTACTTAAATGAAATAAAAGAATTTATAGTTCCTACTGTCAATCAAAAAATAGGTTCAGGTTTAAGAGATTTGAAATGGATAATATTAGCAATTTCTTTGATTTCAGTTATTATTAGGTAATTATTTTTGTTGATTATTATAGTGTAATAGTATTATTATTCATTGAAAAATATAGCACCCACATTTTCTGGGGTTATTTCGTTATTATTGTATTGAGTTTATTCTCATTATGTCTTTTTAGTGCTTAGCAATACTATTCATCATAAGAATAATTAAAATTAGATTAATAGCTTGAGACATATCAAATTATAACATTTGCTAATTCTCTCTAAATATCTTAGAAATTATACTAAATTGTTATGATAATTTCTATAATTGCTGTCATCTTAAGCATTATTTATGCAATATATTTAAAATCATAAACAATTTTATTGAATTTATTCATTAAAGTTGGTGGAGATTTTATTAAATCAAATATAGCATGTATAATTGCTCCTGTTGTAGGATCAGTTATAATAATGATATATTCATTTATTTGGATTGAATAACAATTATATTTATTGTCTAATTTGAAAATTTAAGATAACAAATATCCATATTTTTAGATTGATTTTACTTAAGACATTTAAGTATTGATGATTATGAATTTTCTTATTTTCATCTGGACCCTTGCATTTATAATAGGATTAATAGAATATGTAACAAGTGGAATGGTTTGTGAATGGTATTATTAATAAGGAAACAGAATGAATTTTGAGAAGAAAAATATTTTATCAGATCTAATTCAATACCATATAGGGTCAATTGCACTTGGATCTATGTTAATTACAATTTTTAAATTTATAAAATAGATATTAAATTTTACAAAAATATGTTAGGGATTTTATAATCGAATAATTTTGGCTATATCTAAGCACAATTATGTGATTATGCATATATAACCAAATCATTTTTTAGATTGTGGCATAATAGTTAGAGAATTAATTAAAAAGGAAATTGATACATATAATAAGATAGGAGAACTAGGCTAAACATTCTTGGGAATATCTCGTTTGAGTATGGCATTATGTTGTCAATCAATATGTATGTTAGTCATCTAAGATCACCCATATTCAATTATACTATCACTATATTGCTTTGTGATTGCGTATAGTATTACAAGCTTATTCATCTCTTTATATGGGTAATCATCCGAAGCTATTTACATGCTTTATTTATATAGTCAAAATCATTTGAGTTAGGAAGACAATCCCTAATGTACAATTGTAAATATCATTATTATATAATTATAGACTTTATAATTAGTGTTTAATTAAATAAATGACAATATTAATCAAATGTAATGACGTATAATTTTCTATATTACATATATTATATTGCCTAATATAAATATAAAAATTGTTCCGATTATCGTAAAGTCTATATATATATTCATATCATCTAAGTATGATATTACAGTTGTTCCCAATAAAATCAGTAAAAATATAATATCATTGATTTTATAATCTTGGCATTTACAGTAATACCATAAGATTGATCCAAAGTATAATAAAAAGCAAAATAAGGTTGATTTAAAATGATTTTCTCTGAATATTATTTAAATTAATATAAAAATAGTTTTTGTTAAATGTTGATTAAAATAATAAATTAATAGAGGTTTTCTTATTGCAGTAAATCTGTAAAGCTTTATGGATAGAAATATTTGAAATATGCATCCAATAATGACACAAATTACATTTGCCACTTCATAAATTGATATTTAAATTAATTTATTTATGCAATAAAGATATAATAGTATCGAAAATGCTTAATCAAATTATTAAATATTTAAAACTCTGTAAAAGATTTAGTTGATTTATATTTCAATTTTCTTTATTAATTTCAATTTTTCTTCTGCTGTTATTTAGATATTTTCAAAAGGTTATTTTTGGTTTCTAAAAGTAAAAACATTATTCTTAACCGATGTTGGTCTAATTTATGATCTTAAAATAATACGATAACGAGTTCTAATTTTTTATACTATTAATTTCAATATATAGAGAAATGTGATAAATACGAAAGATATCCATATGTTTGAAATGAAATAATAATCTTAATTTCTATTTTCTAATTTAAGACTCTAATCATTACCTACATCATATATGGAAAAGGGATAATTGATATAAATTAATGGCCAAATTTAAATAGAAAGGAGTTATTACAAATAAATACTATAATCTGCATTGAAATAATAGAGGTATGATATTGAAATAACAAAATCCAAACATAAATGATGAAATTCATTAAAGATAATAGATATTGGTATCATACCCAAAATAAAATACAAAGTAATACAGTATATTTATTACACAATATTTGCATTCTCTTATTATTTGGATGAATAATAATATTATTTTTAAGGTTAAACTAGTAATTCTACAAGATCAGAATCAGATAATATTCTTGTTTTCTTTTTTACTTAAACATGAATCAAATTAAATGGTTTTATATCTTTTTTAAATAAAAAGTCAATTAAGCATTTCATGTTTGAATCTAAAGTAGATTCAATTTATGAAATATTATATTAATAATTCTCATCTGATATTTATTCTATCCATAAGGAAACTAAAGAACAATTTGAATTTATATTTTGAAGTGATAATATAATTTGATTGTTTTATTTTAAATTTGCTTCCTTTTTGATTTCTGGTAAAGGAATACAAGATGAACCTGCACATTAGTAATTAGGTTCAATTTTGCATTAAGAATTGCAACCATCTTAGTTTTTATTATTACTATCATCACATTCTTCTTCTCCTACCACAATCCCATCTCCACAGATTGATTTACAAGTATAATTAATTAGATAATACCCAAATTAGCATTTTTAACATATTCCATTAACTGGATTTTGAGACTTGTCTGAACATTCAAGACAATAGGATGATAATAGATTACAAGTCTTACATTATGATTAACATTGTAAACAATTACCATTATTGTTGTAATATCCATCAATGCATAATTCACAATTAGAGTTAGATGAACAAAATATACAATTTGTATGACATCTTGAACATAATGAATACTAAGATTAAATTTTAGGAGTGCAATACCAATTTTATTCAATATAATGATTAAAGCATCCATCTCTAGGTAAATCATTACCATCATCACATTCAAAATTATTCTAATTATCATTTTCACCATTATTTTAATTATTATTTCCATTATTTTAATTATTATTTTAATTATCATTTCCATCATTATTTTAATTATCATTTCCATTATTTTAATTATCATTTCCATCATTATTTTAATTATCAGTTTCACCATTTTGATTATTATTTCCATCATTTCCATCATTTTAATTATCATTTCCACCATTTTGATTATTATTTTCATTATCAAGGACACATATTTAATCTATCTCTTTAAATCCTTATTTACAAATGCATTATTTATTTTCATTCATATATCTATTAGATTAACAATCAATGCATAAATTTTAATCATTGGAATCATAACATAAATTACAAGTATAATGACAATCAGGTATTTTTTCACAAATTTCGTTGCCTTCATCTCTATATCCATCAATACAAACACAATTAGATTCATCTTTTAATTCTCTAAAAGTAACATTTTTTGGTTAACATTAAATACAACTATTTGATGATAATGGTTATGAACAAGTTAAACAAGAATAATGACATATCATTTCACAAAGTTTTGTTGATGAATTTTCTTAGTAATCTTATTAACAACTGCATTATTTATTTAATAGTATTCTATTTAAATCTGGTAGACATTATAAACATTAATCTAATTCATCACAAGCATAACAATATAATTGATTCAAACATGACTTTAAACAACCTTAATCTTTATCCTCAAAATATCCATTTTTACATAAACATTGTTTATCAACAAGATATCTATTTATTTAAGAGTCACAAGATAAACAATTTGACTCAAAATTTCCATCACATGTTAAACAAGTTGAATGACATATTAACATACATTACTTATTGATATCTTAATAACCTTATCTACAGTTACATTTCCCTAATTCTAATTCTCTATCATCCACACAAGATAAGCATTTATCTTTTTCACAATTAATACAAGGAAAAGGACATTCTAATTTAAATAAAGAATATTACTTTTGCATTATGGTTCATTATCTAATTCATAATATCCATCTTTACATAAACATAAATTATTATTAAATACTCTTCTCAATGCAGGATCACATGTTAAACAATAATTTATATCATCTGAACAAGTAAAACAACGATAATTGCATTTTTTGAATTTTTATGATTAATACTCTATACAACCTATTCCTGTAGTAGTACAAGATGCACAAGTTTAAGATGTTTACTAATAATATTCATTTTATTAAGGGCATAAATAATTTACATTTCTATCATAAAGAATAAAGATTTAATTCATTCCACATGATTTTTCTCTTGAATCATTATAATTTTCACTCAAACAAGTAAATTTTATGGTTAATTATTCTTCATAATGTTCATGTCTTATAAAAACATCTAAACTATAATCTACATCTTATTTTCCAGTCAATGATTAAGGTTCTAAATCTTTTATTGTATATTTGTATTCTGTTTCTTCAATTGTAATAATAAAATAATCTTCTAAAGACCAACCATCAATAAAATATAATGTACAATAAATTCTAATTTAATAATGATAAGGTAAATCAGTAAATTATTTTACATAACTACCATAACCCCAAGTAGCAAATCCTCCAATTATTTTTTTAGTTGGTAAATTCGAGAATAGTAATTTAGTGAAACTATTATCACTCTTAGGTTAAATATTAAAAGTATTTTAAATAGTTTTAGAATCAAAATCTAAAGTATAAAATTCTTTTATTAAATATACTCCACTAGAATTTTAGCTTATTCCTGTAGTATATTGTAATGTTTCAATATTAATATAATCTGTACAATTTCTAACAGTTTCTAAGACTCTACTATGAATTGGACATTTAGCCACACATTTGCCTATATGTGTATAATATGGAATTTTGCATTTAATACATGCAAATTGAGAATATGTTGTACATCCTGAATCTAATTTTTATGCTGAATAGATATAAATTTTATTTTAGAAGGCATACATAGCATCAGTTCCTTATACATTTTATTCAATACTAAATGATAAAAATTATGGATTAGATTGTATGATATTTTCTGTATTAAGTATTACTTTTTAAACTGGAATAGTTGTTCCATTAAGTAAAGTCAATTAAGTTTAATAAACATCAAAAAAATTGGATGGATTGGCAATAAATTTGTTATTTGTTTTATTAATAGTAACAAGCTCATATTCAAAATAAGTTATATTATATAAAGTAGATTAGCAACTAGATGTAGTACAAGTAATGGTATTTGTTGATTCATTAAAATAAGAATACTTATAAAAATTAGTTTAAGAAGTAGAAAATTATTGGCTTTCTTCTTGAAGAGCTACAGTTTTGATTGTTTTTGTATCTCTAGTAGAATTAAACTTTATTCTTATATACGAATCATCTTTCCATTCTCCAATCAAATACAAAATACCTTATAATTGCAACTTTGCATTTGTTTAAGCATGTGTGAAAGTAGAAATAATGATTTACTTTACTTTTTCATCAGGGTTTTGTTTAAAATCATCACTTAACCATACTCCATCAGCTATCTAGTATGTGATGAGATTAGATGAATCTGGATATGTTCTTGAAAAGACATCTAAATATATAATAATTCATACTTGTTGTGATTCCTGGTTAAAGACAATTTGTCAATAATGGTGATTATAATTGTTATTTAGAGGAATCACATGTATTTGTACAAGTTGATGTTAAACTTGTTATTGGTGTATTTGATGGACAATTCATTTATATACCATCTGTATAAAGATTAATATTTCTAATTCCATAATAAGAATTTTCTTATTCATTTAATGAATTAAACTTTATTGAAATAGAGTTTTAATCTTTAACCTAAAAGTCAAATATTAATTCAATAGTAGTAAAGTAATGATTGCCAACTGGAGCCACACATAGATTACTATATAATTCTATTTAAGATTTATAAAACTTATGATGATATATTATCTTATCATCTATTGTAATAATAACTTCACTATCATCAAAGAAATTAAAATAAAGATCAGCTTCTAATTTTATTTGAGTGACATCTTAATAATTACTAGAAAAAGTTCTATAAATTTCTTATCCAGAAATGGAAGCAATAAATTATCTTTCACATTGATAATAAAATAAAGCTTATACATCTTATCCTTTAATATACCATGGAGGAGATTCAGAGGTTGAATCAAAATTCTTTAAATCTTGAAATACTAAAACCCATGCAGAGATATTGAGTACTAATAAAATAAACACAATCATAAATTAATGCATATTTTTAATTGAAGATATTTTTGTTCATATAATAGAAGATAATTGAGAGAAGACTTAAAAGATTTAATGTTCTAAATTATGATACATTATTATATTACACTATTGTAAATACATTATAAATATATTCAAAAAAATGAATTTAAAGCATTTTCATAACATATGAAGTATTTCCTTTAAATCTTTTGTCTTAGTTCATTAGATACTAAAATGTATTTATTAATTACTTTACTAATTCTCTCTATTGTTAGATCCTTAAACAATGCATATCATTGTGAATAATGCATCCAAAAACAGAAATGATGCCATCACTAAACAATAATTGAGAGCAAGATTATCTGAATCTTCATCTAAAAAAAATTAAGAGCATAACTTGCGAATCTATTAATAACTTATTATTGTTATGATTGTCAGAACACTACGACATAAAAAAAGAAATGATGAAAAAATCAAATAAAAAGTGACTATTTTTTGAGATTTCAATTCAGCTCCAAATATTCCATTACAACAATTTATTATTCTCAAAAAATGAACAATATCTAACAAAACCAAGTAATAGAGAATCCCAAAATTATCTGGGTCCTATTATAATTCTTCAAAATATATAAATGAATGATAAGCTTCTATATTGACCAATGATATCATATTATATATGGATAATACCTTTAAATATCTATTAATAATACAATTAGAATTGTGTTAGCTAAACTAAATAATGTTTTTTTGGCTTTCAACTTACGATCCTCTTTTACAATAATTCTAACCAAATCTTTGTGTATTTATTTTTCATCTCTATCATGCAATTCAGAGGCAAAAGATACTCCTTAAATCTATCTCATGATTATCTAATGTTCATCCTCAATTTTATTCATATATAAATAATTATAAATATTGATTGTAAGGTAATATTCTAATTTTAAAAATTATACAAAATATGCAAAAGTAAGTTTATCATCATTATTAAGAGAGGAAATAGATCAAGCATTAAAATATTTCTGTTTCAAGTATACCTATTACAACATATTTGCTTTGATATTTTCATTATTTCAATATAATTTGTTACCATTTGCTCTACCAATTGGATTACTTATTATTCAAGAAGTTATTTGTTGGATTTGCTTTTCTAAAAGAAATCTCATATTATCACTATAACATATGCTTCAAGTTTTGGCAGCCATTTTTATAATAATTCTCTATTATATTGATATGTATTACTACATATTTGTTAACTTATTTGTTGTATTTACAACATTCCTTGGAATTAAATGGAGTTGTCAATAAGATAATTAGCATGAATATTCAACTATCTTTAGATATGTGAAAATATTAACTATATTTATAGCTTCAAGGATTCTATAGTATATCAGTATTGATTGCTTCATTATGTGTAACAATTAAACTGAATTAATTGGTCAATTGGACTTGGCCTTAAACTTTTTGGTGGTATTGGATGTATTTAAGTGCTCTAATAGGTAGTGCTTTTACAATATTAATGATCCTAATTTCTAAATTAATTAATTAATTCTACTACCATAGTATATCTCTCCATTCTAATGAATGTATAACATCAGTCCTTATTTAGATAAAACCTTGGTTTGGTCTTTTTATCTTTTTTCAATGGCCAGCATCATATCTGGTGTATGGATAATAAATACATTTAATCTATTAGGTATGAATTTAAAAATGGATATTGGAATAATTGTATTTGGTGTACTAATAGCATTTAATTTGTTTATGTTTGCAGGAACTCATTTTATATTTAAAGACATTTCTATAGTTTTTACTTAACTCATGAATGCTGATTTTCAACAAAGAGAATTACCATGTAGTCCTAGAATGGATGAAATTAGAATCAAATAAAATACTAAATCTCCAATATTATTGAAAAAATTGTCATCTTCATATTTTCGTTTAGTAACTTGCTAGGAATTCTTAATGTATGCTAATACTAATAAAGAAGTACTATTTACAGAAAGAGCTAATAATTTATCATAAAATATTATTAGAGATGTTAATTAAGAAATTAAAAGAATCAAAAAGTCAAAGCAAAAAACAGACATAGTTCTTGAAACTCAAAAAACATAAGCTGCCAATACTTAATGCATTATTTGTTGTGAAAAATAAGCAAATTCAGTATTGATGAAATGTGGACATGGAGGTATATGTTATGAATGTGCATTTGAAAGTGCATAAAAAAGTCGGGAGTGCTTTCTTTGTAGATAAAGAGTCACAGAAATATATGAAATTGATTAAAATGAATAAGGAAATTATCTTAAAGTTTATAGTAAAACTAGAATTATTTGATTACCTTATTTATATATATATATTTAGATAGATATTATTAAATTAATTATAATTATTATGACATAATAAATCTTTTGTTATTTTAAAAATATCTATCTCTCATATGGATTATTGGCCCTTATTAGTAGACATAATTCAACCACTTAGTAGCAACGAGCCAAACTTCTTAAAACATTAAATAATTACATCACAGTATTTTAATTTTATATATTTACTAAAAATCTTCATCTTTTTAAATTTATATTATTACTTTAGAAAATAACAGCTTATTGACTCTATCCATTAAAATGAAAGATAATTTCTGTGATTATTTCATCCCCTTTTTTTTAGTAGCAATAAGTTATTTTTATCAAAGTTATCTTTGCTAAAACCAAATTATTTTTCATTTACTTAATCTATATTCTACTGTTTTTAAATTACTTAAAGCAAGACTTTTTTACTTACAGGCTGTTTAGTAAGTTAATCCTATTTCTCTATTTATGTGATAACCTAATATTACTTTTTTTTCATAGCTGAATATCATAAGGCTATTTAAGAAATAATAATCAGATTTGAAGTTTGTGAAATAATAGCAGCAAGTAGGATGACTCAATATTTAAGAATAATCAAATTGGTCTTAGATTTTATCGTTCCATTTTTGTTTAAAAACTATGTAGATATTATTTAATAAGTAAAAAATCTTAATGATTATAAGGTTGGTTGAACTCTCCTAAGATAGAGAATACGACCATGCCATTTTTGAAAGGAGAAAAATTATTTGTATAAAATCAAAAAATAAATTAGCAAAGAATAATTAAAATGATTTACTTGTTTATAGATGGCAAAAATGATTGATCTGGATTAACTATATGCGCATAAAATTTATTTTTCTATATTTTTGAATTAGAGGAAGATAAAATATTCTCCAGCCAAAATATTTCTAAAACTAAAATGGAAACAATAAACCAACTGGGAGAGGAACTACCATTTTATTCATGCTGCTGAGACTTTTGATCAAATGAATCACCCCATCTATATTAGCCGGTAAACAGAGAAATCCATGAATAAAACCTAGTGTTGAGGATGAATTGTGGTTAAATTGTTAAATTATTTTTGTGCAATGATATTTTTATTATAAAATAATTTAATTAATTAGCTTCCAAATTTATATGAAACAAAATTTAACTTTTGAAAAAGATGATGGCAATTTCTTAGATTAAAACTCCTATCAATAAAATGTATAAGAAATTAATTATTTAACTTAAATGATTAATTCAAATATGTTTTTAGATAAAGCTGAACTTTATTATAAGAAAGGAATGAATTTATTTTTCATATCAAATTATGAGGAAGCAGTATAATCTTTTAACAAAGCAACTGATATTGATAAGAATCATGCTGAGGCTTATTTTCAAAAAGGAGAAATCTTTCGTAATTTCTTAAAAGATCCTAAAGCAGCTGTAAATGAGCTAGACGAGGCTATTAGAATAAATCCTAAATATGTAGAAGCATATGATTGTAGAGGCTATGCACTTATGGATTTGCATAAGTATGAAGATGCAGTAGAGTCTTTTGATAAAATTATAAGAATTAATTAAGAAAATAATCGAATATGGCCAAAGTCAATCTTAGAACAACTCAATTTTTGTGATGGTTATGAAGGAAAAGCATTAGCATTAACAAAATTAGGAAGATGGGAAGAAGTGTTGGAAATTTATAACCACTTAATAAAGCAAAAACCAAATTATGAACATCATCATCATAACAAAGCAAAAGCTTTACTTTCTCTTAACAGAATAGAAGAAGCATTAGATTCTATAAATAAAGCTCTAATAATTCAACCAGATAATCCTTTATTTTTATTCACAAAAGGTTAAGCTGTTGCATTATCTAGAAATAGAAAAGCAACAGAAGAGTTTTTTAATTAGAGTTTATAATAAAAATCTAAATTTTTTGGTAGTGCTTACACTTACTTTTAGTAAGGATTGGCTATGAATATTTTAGGGGATAAAGTAGAAGCAATTAGAAACTTTGATCTTGCAATACAAAATTCACCTGATTATTATCAAGCTTATCATAGAAAAGGATTAATACTTATTTCTTTAGGGGAGAAGATGAAAGCATTGGATTGTTTTAATAAAGCTATAAAAATTAACCCTGATTATATAGAAGCCTATTATGCCAAAGGTTTGGTGTTATCCGAATTAGGACAATAAAGTGATTAAAATGAATCCTAATGATGCACTTGCTTATAATAATAAGGGATGGTACTTATCTTAAGAAGGAGATTATGAATCTGGTCTTGAGTGTATAAATCATTCTTTAGAGATAAATCCGAAAATTGCTCATACTCATCATAGCAAAGGATTTGCATTATCAGCTTTAGGTAGATAAAAAGAAGCCATAGAATCTTTTAATAAAGCAATAGAACTTGATAATAAACTAATATGTGCTTACAGCGATAAAGGAATGTCTTATCTTTTACTAAAAGAATACTCTCTTGCAATAGAATGTTTTGATAAAGCTCTTAGTTTTGATGCTAATTACACTTAAGCCTAAAAGGGAAAAATTCAAGCAGAAAAATTATTATTTTGAACACTAAAGGTACAGTTTAGCATTTGTCGAAATGCAAAATGAATTAAATAGAATTTAATACAGATTATTAAATCAATTTTTTTCTTTTACTACTATTTCTGTTTAGAGTAAAAAAAGGGTCTTACGATAGTTAAATTATCTCTAAAATACCTATGGAATGGCCAAAGCTTTTCTTGCTGATACAATCATATATTCAGACTTTTTATAAAAATGGTTGGTATTATTAAGAAATGGAATATATAAAAGTAAGGACCAAGATTCTGGATGCTCCATTTAAATTATTATTTTAAATCAACCCTTTTGTTATTTTACATGTATAATTTTATTGTTTCATAATTAAGTTACTTGACAAAAATACACTAAAATATACACAGAATCACATTCAAAATATTAAATAAGCCAATCCTTCCTCAAAATATTCATGGAGTAAGGAGTAATTACAAATGCATTTGGTGGGTGGATATTGATTTGTTCTTTTTAATTTGAATTGAGAAATTATTTACTTTTTTCTGATATAATTCCTCTTGAATTTATAAATATTAATAAAACAATAATTGCATTTACTTAATTTAGAAGAATTATTAATTATTTTGTTACACTGATAAGGTAACAATATACTCAAATTATTATAGATATTTTGAATACTAAAATTAAGAGAGTTTAGAATAGAATTAGTATATCATTTGACTATTTTTGAATATTGATAGAACAATAATTAAATAATTATTTATGAATAATATTAATTAACACATTAATCAATTTAAATCTTTTTGTTTTGATTCTTAGTTAATACACTAAAGTCGTATATCTCTAAATTATGTCAGCAATTTCTATATATCCAAAAACTCTTCTGTTTCCATTTTCTTATCTTATTATAAAGACTAAATTTAAGTATTTGAAACATTCTTTAATCTTTGTCTAAGCATATTAAAAGCTGGTCCTTAGGGTAATAGCATCATTAATCCAAACAAACACTTCATTAAGAAAGGATGAGAATCATATTCCAACAATTATAATCTTAAAACTTTAATATTTATTTATATTACAAATGAATACTGGTGTTTCTAGAACATTAATTAATTAGGCTATTTCTAATAATATATATTAATTGACTTCCACTTCTGAAAAACTAATAATTATATTATAAGCCAACTCATATTCTTCAGATAATAAACATAATGTAATTACACTCATAGAATTGTAACAAAATGTTCTATAGAGTGTTTCAAAGATTTCTTAATTATGTTATCTTTATTTTTCATCTTTTTCATGTTTTAAATTTCTCAATATATTTCTTAGATTTTATAATTCTTTTTCTGAAATTAATAAAGTAGTTAATGTTTAAACAGTATTACTAATAAATAGTACATCATTATCTGAATATATTTCTAATAATTTAGCTGTTATTGTAAAATAAACCTTTTATGGATTAAGAAGAGAACATAATTTTTTAAATATCTAATCTCCCTTCTTTTCAGATTATTCTTAATTTTTATGTAGCATAGTCAATATTTTATCAATAACAATTTCAAAATATTGACTATGCATTGATATATTTGCCAATACATCCATAATATTTTAGACTATAGCAGATTCTGAATCTGCCAATTTATCAATTAGCTATTTAAATAATTAGAAATATACTTTTGTTAATATATCTTCTATAGTTGGAAATAGGGATTCAGAATATGTTTCTAATAAGTGTTTCATCCATATTAATGCAGATTCAGCTGTATTACTTTTTTTATCAGTTAACATCTCCTTTATTGTTGGTACAATATTCATAAATTCTACAGATTAATTTTTGACTTTTTCCATAACTTTTAATAACAATTCATTTGTTTTTTAAGCAGCTTTTCTTATTTCTTCTTCTTCATGAGATAGTAAAATTAGAATTGGACCCAATATTTAACTTAAACTATTCAATATAGTTTTTCTTAAAGGTGATTCAAATCCACCTAAAAATTATTACATTTAATTTTTAGAAATTGGAGATGTATTACTTCTTAGATATTCTTCTTATTTAATATGAGAAGTTGAATGCTAAAATCCCAATTTCCCTTTTTATTCTTCTTCTAATTCTTATTAAAATACTCTTAAATATTCAAAAATCCATAATAAAGAATTTAATTTAGCATAATTATTTTGATTTCCTTTCATTTAACAAATTTTCAATAAAATTTCTATAATCTATTCATTTACTCTTTAATCAAGATTTACTTTAATTTCTACTTATTTCAAAAATTCATTTGCTTATAAATCTGCACCATTACGAACTTCCCTATTGATATTAATTCATTTTACTTGTTTGATTCTCCTAACATCATGAAAATACCTTCCAATATCATAGGAAAATAAATGTATAAATCATTATTATGACATTAATTTAAAACCTTAATCCATCCAAGTAGGAATTGTCGAACATATGTTACTCTTGATTTTAATTTACTCTATAACTAAATCATAAAAGAGTTTAAATTGAAATAACATGGTTTTCCTGGGTCTGAAAATCTTTCTTGAACTGCTATTTAAACTTGAGTCTTTAATTATGCATCCAATAAAAACATAGCTTAAACAATTTAATTATCTTATTCTGCTGATCTTCCTAATTGATAATCAAATATTTCATTAAAATTTAAAAGGATCATTGTTTTCATTATTTTAGTTAATTACAACAAACATTCAACAGCATATTATCTAGCCTTGTCTTCTTTATCATTTAAGCATTCCAAAATTGGTTAAGTCAAATCTTTAACACATCTTTCAGCTAATTATGGAAACTATATATGAAAATCACAATTACTTCTTTCACTAGAATTTCAGCCACTGTCTAAATAGCAAACATTCCTTATCTTTTTAGGTACAATTATGAAGAAGATGTAAATTTTATTTTTAAAGTTTCTATTATTTATTTGATTAATAATTCCTTTCCACTTTAAGCATAAGATTGAACTAATGATTTTAATTATTGACATCCTTATTGTTTCTTATCCTAACTTTTATCATATAATAGTTTGATGATTTATTAAGGTACAACATTGTCATCCATGAGAAAATATAAGTTTATTAATAAAATTCATATTAAAAAAGGTAAAAATGCATCATCATAATACAATGTCTAATAAATATAATTAAACCTCTTTTATTAATAAAATAATAAAATGAGTTTAATAAATGAATGATGAATAGAAGTCAACTAATATTTTATCATATAATCTTGATAATATATAGAGATTATAAATAAATGAGACAATTTTTGTTATAAAATAATTTCAATAAAAAATGAATTGGAAAATTTTAGGGGACTTTATTAGTTTAATCATTTAAACAAACTTATCACCTTCCCTAAATAATTAGTTTTTTACTAGTTTTCAGATTACATTTTATTACTTGTAATTAACATACTTTTTAGTGAGTGAAAATCATGAATACATTTATCGTTTGATAAATACTTTATCAAGAATTAGTTTAATCACTCCAATATTTATAGATTCATATTCCATAAATATGTTAATAGGAATAATCATAATTTTGATAAATATTGTACCTTACATCATTATTACATACAGAAAGATTACTAATAAAAATAATAACATTTCTAAAAGTATTTTGCAAGTAAGAATATAATATATATTAAAGATGTCAACAATGATTGTCAATTATTATTTTCTTTATTTTTCTTGGTTTTTATATTTACCATAACTTTACTACGTAGGTTGGAATTACATCTATTCAAGTGCTTCACTTCTAATTCTAGCATCAATAGTATTAATACTTACAATTCTAAGTCTTATTATTTCAAATGTCTATTTTATTAATTTTGAATTCAACGAATAACATTTAAGAAAACATTTTTCTTATAGTGATTTATTAGCATAATTATTAATGATACCAATGGCTTTATTATACTTAAATAATGATACAACAACTCAACTTATTAGTAGGATATTACATGGTTTAATATTAATTATTCAGATATATGATGCATATTTCTCATTGCCCTTAGGGTAATATATTTATTTAATAAATAGATTTTCAGCATCAGGTTTAATATTAAATAGAGCTTTAATGACACATTCAGTAATTTTTACATTTTCATCAATTAAAGCTTTAAGCACAGCTAGTCCTTATAGCTTAGCTACAATTATGTTGATAATGCAACCTGTAGTTTAATATTTGTTTTAAATTCTATTTGAGAGTAAGAGATCAAATGTCTATATATCTAGCAATATAACTAAAAATTAATATTATGATTTACTTTATATAGAAGATTTTTTTGAATTAAGTTAATTAGCATAAAAAAATAAATAAATTGAAATTGAATTTATTTAAAAATTAGTATTACATACAAATAGATGTAATTCAACAAAATGTTAATGTAGAAAAATTGAACCTTCAAAAATTCTATAATTTAATTAAATTGTTATAATGATATCATGTTTATTTAAGGGTAGTTTTGAAAAATATAAACATCATTAATTAAATTTAAGAGTATTTGAAATTTTTAGCCTTAAATTTTTAACATTTATAAATAAATATAAACATAATGCTCCAAAAAGTTATTAAGAATTAAAGATTTTATTTTAAAAAAAGAGAGATTATTCATTTTATTTTATTTAAATGTGTCTTGTATTATAATAAATACTATAAGCATAATTAAGAAAGGATGAAGACTATAATATTAATAAAGATACAAGAGTTTCTAATGTTAAATTATAAGTAAGTAAAAGTGAACATAGTATTGTTTAAGATCTATATTAAATGGAATAAGTTAAAAATAATATTATACCATTATTATTATAAGTAGGATAATTTAAATAATAATTTTGGAAATCTTTTAAAGAAGGTAAATTTTCAGAATATTCTTAAATTGAGAAAGAAGTTAGAAAATTATAATAATTGCGAGATAATCTAATATTATAATTTAATGTATATTAACCAATATTTTATCATAATGGTAGAACTTTTAATGTTTAATTCTTAAAATTTAATGCATTGATTAATTTACTATTATTTAATAATTTAAGAAAGTATTTTGAATTGGAAAAAGGTAAATAATATAATTATTAATATAATAGAAAGAAAAGAAATTTTACAATTTGAGAAAAGTATGAATTCATTTGAAATAACTAATATTAATTTCTTTAAAGGTGAAGCAATATCTGTAAAAGTTTGTATAGCATTTGGACCCAATATTGGAAAAGTGATGAATAAAGTTATTTCTCCTTTGATTCCAAAATTCTTTGGATTTGGTCATTTTTAACATCCACTTAATTCATTTATTGATTATACTAAAGGTAATATTAATCAATTAATGCCTGCTTGGCTTGAACCAGTTCATGATGAAATGATGCAAAATTATATAAGAAGAGGTGTTACAGCAAGAATTGGTAAATATTTTTAAACATTTGCTAAATTATATGATAAAACATTAATAAAATGTTAAGTCTATTTGGCTCATAATTTTAGTTAAGAATTAGAAGATGATTTTACAATGATAGGATGTCTTAAATCACTTGAAGAAGAATAACCTAAATTTATAGGGGATGATGGAAAACGATTGAAAAATGTAGCATTTAAAGGGTATTAGTATGTATTATTTGATTTGAATGGAAATATTATGGGGATTACTAGAGGTATATATAAAATGATAGAAAAAATGTAAAGATTAGTAGTAAATAAAGGAACATATCATGAAATAGATTAACTTAAATCTAGTAATAATATATCAAAATCTGATAATTCTTCATAAGAATCTGAAAGGTAAAAGTAATTTATATGATAAGTTATAATGCATTTGATTAAAAATGGTCCAATATTGAATTATCAATTGATGATTTTTATGGGAAAGTTTTTATATGGATGATATTACCATTTATTTCTAGAGAAATAGAATCAACAGGAATAGAATTTTTAATGAATGGATAAACACCTCCAAAAAATAGATATTAAAATTTAACTGATTTAGATATTAGTAATCTTTTAGTTTAAAATAAAGAAACATATTTATTTATTCCAGAAGATATTAATTTATTTGTATAATAATATGAAAAAATACTTTAAAAGATTGTTGATGATGTAAGAGTGTAATCAAATAATTTTTCATCAGGTAGTGCATATAAAGCTTAAAAAAGTGATTATTAAGAGATAGATTAATTCAATACAGTTACTATTTTTAATGAAAAGTTATGTGTATTCTTTTATGATGAACATTTAAAAAGACATTAGACATTAAATTTTGGTTAAACAAGGTAATCTGAAATGGTAAAAGTGTAAGGTAAACCATCATCACGATCATCCATATAAGAAAAATAATCATCAAATAGCGAAAGTTAAGAAGATAGTGAATAACTCAAAACAAGAGCAGAAAGAATATATTAAGATAGATATTCAAGATATATAGAAAAGTTTTCACCTTAAGATTTTCATCCTGTTCCAGTTATGTATTCAGTAAGTTATGAAGAATATAGATATAGAAAAAATGAAATTGATCACAAATAATAAATATTTGTTGTTGAATTAGTTGTTAATGAATAATAATTACTTAATACAGAAAAGGGATATAGAAGATAATTAAGAGATACAATTAAATAAATATATCAAAATTATTAATCTAAAAAATAATTATTAGAATAATAAACTGATGAAGAAGATTCTATAAGTGTATAAGCTAATTTTAGTGAATAAAAAAGTGTACATGATAAAGAAATAACAAATTATTAATTTCCTTCTCATCCTTCACATTATTTTGATGATGCATTTTTATTTGATAATAAAGAAGTTTTGATTACTGATTAAATATTTAGTCCAAAATAAGATGATAAGGGTGACTTTTTTTTATTAAGTAATAGATCAAAATAAAGTAAACCATTATTAGAAGTAACTGAAAGAAATAGTAAAGACAGTAATAGAAAGAATAAAGCATCTATATAATCAGAACATAGTGTAGGTGATGCATAATTTAAAGGATCAAAACTTAATATCACAGAAAAAGAAATAGCATAAAGTGTTTTTATTAAATTTAGTTAGAGAAAGAAATAATAAGAATTTTATAATGAAAATGAATCTAAATTACCTTAAGAAAGTAAAGATTCTTAATAATAAATATTTGAAGAATATTAAGTAAAATATACTGAAAATTTAAAATTATTTGAAACATAATATAATTTAGTTTAATCCTAATTAAATATTATTAGCAATCCATATTCATATAGAATATAAAAATATTTATTTTCAGCTACTTTTATTTTGATAATTTGTTTTATTATACTCATTTCAACATCCACTTAAGGATAATATGATTTGACTAATTGTCTTAATTTAATTGAATTAATGATTACAACTTAAACTTCATTTTCATAAATTACACATAGTTTATATCGAAATGAAATTACAAATCAATTATAAATTAAAGATATGGAAATATTGAAATAATTTTATAATAATTAATTCTTTGGTTAACTTCAAGAATTAATAAATATTTAAAATGATTATGTAATTAAAATTAATTAAGCTAACTTAAATGTTGAATAATTTTTTGATATCGAAAATAGAATTTTAAAAAATATAACTTTATAAGAAGTTATTTAATTAAGTCTCGGATAATTCTATAAACTTAAATAAACTAATAATAATCATTCATTTATAGTCGATTCTTCTATGACATTTTCATCAGTTGCTAATCTCAAAGAAATTGGAGAACTTCCTTAAAAGGCTCATCAATAATGCTATTAAGAAAATCTTAATGATCATTAATACTCTCAAAATATACTTATTGTTTATATGGTAATTACTTTTTTCTTAGTAATGATGTTATAATTTACTTAAATTCCTCTTATTTCAAAATTAAGGAGAAATCACAGAACTCTTTATAAAGAAATCATTAAACTATAACCTTTAGAAGTTAATGAGGAAATTGATATTTATGATGGTGTAGTCAATATATTCAAAAGATCTATTTATGAGTGGATGCTGATAGATTTTGTATAAGAAACATAAATGTTTGATATTAATAGACAACGAAAATCTATTGCTCATACTCCTGGATTATAAAAAATAAATAATCCTGATCTCGGATAATCTTCTAATTCAAATAAAAAAAATACAAATAAATTAATGGAAAAATTAAAAAAATCTAAAATGAATCAAAATAAATACATATCAATATTAATGGCTGGACTACTTGTAATTTTAGCATATTTCCTAGTTGTCTTTCTTATAATTTTTATGCTATCCAAAGATATTATTTCTAACATTGATACTATATTCTAATCTAAATTGGCACAATCTTCAATTATTAATTTAATTAATAATGTAGATTTATTAGCTTATTCAACTTTATCAAATAATATTTATGATAACATTATGAATATCAGTTAATTTTAAACTTACTCTGAAGTTTTAAGTGATAATTCAACTGATATGTTTTTTGAAAAATATAAGAATTAATTACTTTCATCTTTTGTGGATGAATCATTATATAATAATTTTAATATTTTAAATGAAAAAAACATTTGCACACAAGAAGTAGGTATTGATTGCTCATTAACTGATGCTATATCTTTAAATCCTGGAATTATTGCTAATTATGAATAAGGAATGAAATCTCTCTTAACTTAAGTAAGTACAATTATAGCCCAATATCCATAATTTTATGAGACTGATAATATTTAAAATTCTGAATAAATTTTAATTGAGTTTTACAATAATTAATATCATATCCTTTATATTGATTATGGTAGTGAAATTTTGATTAAAGCATATAAATAACTCATTAGTATTGAAAAAGATTTATTTAATTAACTTTTAGATGTATATAAAAAATTATTGCTCATATTTACATTAAGTGTTGGTCTATTTGGATTGATTATTATTTTATTTTTAGGAAAATATTTACTGAAAATGTAAAAAGATTCAATAGATACATGCCTAACAGCTTTATTACTTGTATCTCCTAAAAGATATTTAAGTAAATAATTAGGTTTGGTCATTTAAAAGAAATTATGATTAATGTTTATTAGATAACAGTTCAATTTAATACTGTTTATATATATATTATATATAATTATAAATATTCTAATAAAATTAAAAAAGAAATTAATAAACAAATGAAACGTGCATCCTCTTTAACTAAATAATCTACACAAACATCTAAAATTAGTACTCAAACTTCCTTTAAATAAAATTAAAAATTTTCAAGTGTTAAATCAAAATATAAAGAACCAAAAAAGATTCCTGGAGCAACACCTTATGATCCAACAAATAGTTCTGGGAAATTATCTGCAATAACATAAAATTTATTCAGGATAGTAATTACATTTAGCATTTCTAATTTTGCTGAATATATCAATTTAAAATAAGTATGTTCAAGGTTTTATTATGAATTGGAATCTAATATTCATAATTTTTAATACTTAAATCCTTTATAATATTAGAATATTAAACAAATTGTTGAATAGTTAAAAGTCATTTATTTTAACTAATAAATCAATCGCTATACAACATTTCATGAAAAAATGAATTCTATGTTTTAATATGGAGCTACTAAATTAAATTTACCTGATAAATTAGTTGAATCTCTATAAATTTAGATTTAAAGTGCTAGAGTAAATAAAAAATAATTCACTCCTTAAATACTATTTAGAAAATTAAATTTTGCATCTCATTTATATTTCAAAATATTATTAGATGGAGTTCCAATAAATATGAAGAGTGATACTTATGATAGTATTTAGGTTTATTTTAAAATAGAATCTAAGTATTTAAATTTATCAAAAGAATTTACTAAAAATTATGAATGTTAAGAGATTCTAAAAAAATCAATTAATTAAAAAGCATTTACTTATATGACTGATGGTCATTATTTATTCACTTATTTTGAAAATGATAAATAAATGTTATATATTTTATGGGAAAATTCAACTGTAGATTTAATGTATTATTTTTGGAAATAATTAAAATAAAAGTATTTTTGGGTAAATAAAGTATTAATATAAAAATAATATAAATCAATTATGGAATCAAGATCTAAATAAAATATTTAAAATTAAAGAGCATTATCAGAATCAAAATAGAAATCATAAGTAGATGAAGATAGTGATGATGAATACATATCATTTTAGTAGTAAAAATAAACAACTTTAACATTACCTTAAATAAAATCACCTTAATAATAATAATAATAATAATAATAATAACTTCCTCCTAAACCAAAAAAAAAAGTTTCAACATTTTTAAAAACAAAAGTTATTTAAAATAAAATATAATATGCTTCAATGAAAGATTATATGTATGATTAATAAGATTTTGAATTGATGATCAATATTCATACAGGAATAAAAGGATAAAATTTATTTTATTTTGTTGATACAAAAGCTATGCCAAAATTAGATGAAGATTGTTTATATTTTACATATAAAATGAAAGAACATATAAATCTATCATATAAATTTTATTTAGATAATAAATTAGGAATGAAAGAAGTAGTTGAAAATTTATTTTTATGTGATATAACTTTTAAAGATAGAGATGATTTTAGAATTATATTTAGTGGATTTGTTTAAATGTTTAATGAAGATACTACATCAGTAGCTAAATAATATGATGTTTCTTATATGGATATAAAAGAGTGGAGATCTCTTAAATTGTGGGATGAAAATAGATTTGAATTAGTAATATTATTTGGTACCTAACCTTCAGTTATTAAACTTTTAGAACTAAAACTAATGGATATAAATTGATTAATTTTCTTATTAATATATGATAACTTGGAAAACTATCAATAAAATTATTATATATCATTTTTTCTATAATTTTGGTAATTTAAAATAAGCTTAATATTGTTAAATTCTACTATCAATTTTAGATTAGATCTAATTTCTTCTATTTGTAATTTCAGTTTTCATTTTAAAACCTGGTAATCTTTTTTCAGTCGATTATGGTCTAGTTTTACATCATGATTTACTTATGGTCACTTTTTTTTTCAGATCTAGATAAATCATAGCTTTTAAGGTAATATTTATCTTCAATATCTTCATCCTCTTAAATTAAATCAGCAGGTTTGAATTCGTTAAGTAAAATTTATTTTGGATCTAATGAATCTAACTTTTCCCAATTCACAATTAAATGAGAGTTAGCATATAATCCATCTTTTTTTTATTTTCTTTCTTTATAGCTGCTTGTTTTGACATACAATGGTTCAAAAATAGTTGATTTAGATCTAGATTAATTAGTTTGTATTATTAATTTATCTTTCATTTATTCCTTCTTACTTTTTTTCCACTCATCAATTAATATTTTTTTTGATTTAAGTTAATCTGTTGAATGGTTTCCATATCTTTAATATGCCAGACCTTCAGGTTTACGAAAACCAGGTTAATCCTTAGTATTGAAAGGAATATAAAGGGGTTTGAATTATTTTCGAAATTCTTAAGTATCAACTTTTATTAGTTTATAAAGTAAATGTTCAGCTATCTTGAGTTCTTTATTAAACATTTATTTTGAAAGCTCTTATAGTAATTGTATAAAGCTCAGATAAGTAACTTCATTTTAATTTTTGTTAACTCTTTTAAATAAGTTATTCTAATAAATTATAAAAATTAATTACTAATTCTTTAAAAGATAAATATTTAGCCTTCACATTTTCATTATTATCAATTATATTTTTAATTAGAATATTAGAATTTGGAGGCAATAAATTATTTGAGAATTTACTAGTTTCATCTATTTTAGATTATGTCTTTGTATGGTGAATCTTAGTATCCAATAATCCAAATTGTCGACAAAAAATAATAAATTTGCCCTCTGTCATTGTATTTGATTCATGATTAATTCTATTAAAATCATCAGAAGGACCTCGTACATAAGATATTTTTGAATAAAATTTATATATTTCTTTTAGATGAGCTTGTATTTTAGAATTAGCATAGAAAGACTCATCAGTTTGATTTTATTCCTCAATCAAACTAATTTCTCCAAATTTACTATTATTATCTGTAATTGGATCTAAAGTATGAAATTTGAGTTTATCTAATTATGTTTCAATAGATGACATAATATGTTTGACAACTCCTTTATCTTTTTGATGTGTAATTTAAGTTTCAATTATTTTGTACCTTTCTAATTATTATTCTAAGTATTATGATATGTTAATATATTCTTTATTTTCTTTTTATAATTCATCTTATTTTAATTCATTTTATGCTTATTTATGCCCTAATCCAAATAATTAAAGTTTTGTCTCTTCCTATTTTTATATATCTGTTTGTTATTGATTTCCTTCTTAATTTAATTAAACATCTCTTTATTAAAATGTATTTAATTTAGTTATTTCCAACTGCTTATCACTTAGATTAAAATTTTAGTTTAACATTAATAAATAGAAATTAAATGAAATTTTATTTATTATTAAATCAACACAAGCTATGTCTAATAATTTTGTTTAATATTTTATTGAAATATGTTTATTTTACTATATATATATATAATTAAACTAATTAATGTAATAAAATGTATGATAATATTTGAACAAAGTATTAAATAGACTGGAAACAATCATATTTATTGTCTAGAATAATAAGATCTAAATAATTAATAGGCTTTATTATCAATAGAATTGATAAATGAATAAAATATCAAATGAAAGGATTGCTTTCCTTAACTTTGTCAAATAATTCATGATATTTTTCTAATCCTTTTACGTCATCTTTAGTTGGTACTTAGACTAAGACTACACTTGTTGGCTTTTTAGTTTATGCAGCAGCCCCTTAATAAATATAATTTATTATTACCTAATTCTAATCTGCTTCTCACATAAATGTAAGGAATTCCTAATTCTTCACATTAAAGTGGTAAATGAGATAATACATCTACGGGACTAATGTCAGCAGCAAAGACAACAATTCCAGGGGTCTTCTTTCTTAATGCTTTTCCAACTTCCTTTACTCCTCTTTTAATATGTTTAATAGTTATTTCTAAATCATCAATGAATCATTACATCTGGCTATAAATCTAAGAAGTCCTTTCTATAATTTGCTATTGGCTATTGGATTGGCAATAGGAGAGACATAAAATGTTTATTCTGCTTCTGTCATAAATTAAAAATATAAATAACCATAAATTAAAATAAAATGAACCTATTCAGACGAGTTTGCATCCCCTTATTAAGATAGGTACCTAAAATTGCTACTCCAAGAGTTGTGGCATTATCATTATTAACTTCTCACTTAATTTTGTTTCCTAAGAAAGTGAATGCAACTAGTATATCAAATCCAGAAGGAACAAACAATGGTTTCAATAAATATGAAAAATTCTCTGATTAAATTTATGAATAAATTCATTAAGTAAACAAATTCATAATAATAATTAAGACTCATGATATTATAATTGTTGTAGATCCAGATAGATTTGTAGAACATTTTTTGGATGAATTACTTTAAGTTGTTGATTAAGTAGTAAAGGTATAAAAAGTTAGATCAAAGAGACCTTTAAAAGTTTTGACTTTGAATGAACCTATTACAGAAAAATTGGTAAGAGATTTTGAGTAAAAATACAAAATTACAATTGAATAGGATACTATTATGTTATTAAAGAATAAATATATTTAAAGGATATATAATTTTAATGCTAATGATTATTTTGAAAATAGAATTCTATTGATCAATTATTTTAAAAAGATTAATAAGTTAACATAAAAAAAGTTAAATGAATTTGAGTAAATATTATCATATTTACCATCTACAGAAACAGCAGTTTTAGTTTATGCTGATAAAACATCACCATAATATAAGAATGTTTAAACAAGATTTTGTATAATGTAATAAAATGATAATTATTAAAAAAATGAAAAATTACATTGGATTCTAATTGATAAAGCTGTTGCAGATAAATTAGGAATCTAGAATATATAAAATGGATAATTATTTTTCTTATAAAAAAGTAGTAAATTAAATAACTTTTAATCTTCAATAATTGTTAATAATAAAAAGTTATTAATCACACCAGCTGGTACTTTAGGAGGTAAATCAGTAGATAATGTAATGGAAGATTTAACATAGGCATATAATGATGTAAATGTATTTTCAAACAGAAGTTTTGGTAAATCTTCTACAAAATATTCTATTGTATTAGAATTAGATTTAAATAAAATACCAAAACATGAAGAAACTAGATTAGTAAAGGCTTTTGGAGAATTGAAAAAATATTTAAAAGAAACAAATCCTGAATTATTAGCTAAGACAGAATTTATATATTTAAATAAGACTCCTAAAGATAATCATTTAGGTTATTAAGTATATATAAGAGATGATTAAAAATATGGAGATCGTTTGAGATAACATTAAGAAACTAATATGGAAATTATGAAAAAATTAAGTGTATTCAATGAATTTGGATAAGCACATAGTTATGTTTATAGATTAGATGAATAAATATAGGTAAGTAAAGATTCTTTGATTTCATTTTTTATGGCTGTAAAAAATGGACATGCAAGTGAATATTTCTAATCTTAAGAATAGCCTAAATACAAAAAGTATTCTGTAAAATTAGTAAGTAAGATATTTGAAAAGGAAGTTATGGAAAGCAAGAAAGATTATGCAATATTTTAATATTCAAAGAATTGTCATGCTTGTGGAGAATATGGTTAATATTATGAAAATTTAGCATTGGAATCATATAAATAAGAAAATCCTACTATGATTTATGGTAGAATGAATAATGATCATAATAAACCATCATGTATTTAAGATTTCCCATATACTCCAGTATTTATGGTTTGTAAAAAAGGAATTCAAAAATATCCATATGTTTATAGGTATTATTTAAATTAAAATGAAGAAACCAAAAATTCACTCCAGATTTATTGAAAAGCTTTTTTAGTGTAACAAATGCTATAAATTTAATTCCTGAAGAATAATATTAAAAATTGTAAGCTGAAAGAGCTTTATTTATGTAAAATCAATAATGAGTATTAATAATTTATGATTTATTCTTTATTTATAAGTCCCCAATTAAATATATTATGTTCTTTTTGTATATATTATTAATAAACTCAAATATACTCTCTCATAATTTGAGTACGGAGTCCAAATACAATTTAAGGGCATTTCCTGCAAACTTAGAATCAGGTATTTTTTATGTAGTACCATACAATGCACCCATATCACCTCCACTTTTATATTTGGATGGATTAGTTTTGATCTATTAAATTAATAATTAGTTTACTTCTTTAATAGCCTCTTTAATATCTTAAACAAAAACTTTTAAATTTTGAATATTTTATTGTGTAACACTAATATGTATTCCATTTGGATTTTGAGTTGTATTAAGATTCCATCCTTTTGAAGTAAGGATTTGATGGATTGAATAAACATTAATATTTCCTTTGCTTTTAAAACAAACACAATTAATCTTTGGTTCACCACAAACTTCTAATTCTGGTATTTCATTTATTTATTTAGCCAATTAAATTGTAGCATTTATAATTGATTTACTTAATTCAATATATCTCTTTCTACCTATTGCTAACATAGTAAACCAAGCTCCTGCTGCTCCAACTCCTGTTTTTGAACCTTATGTAGTTGGTACTGCATAAGCACCTCCTGACCAAGTGGCTGTAGAAAAGAATGCATATTATCTCAATTAACGAGTTTTAAATAAAATTGTTGATACACCTTTAGGGGCTAATCCATGTTTATGTTAATCACAAGATATACTAGTTACACCATCTAAAGTAAAATCATAA